GATAGATAGATAGATAGATAGATAGATAGATAGATAGATAGATAGATAGATAGATAGATGATAGATAGATAGATTAGTAGATGGCTCTACTATTGAGGAGGATATACTCATTCTCAATCTGCCAGGGGTCTTCCCTCATTCCTTCTTTCCTTCCTTCCTCTCTCCCTCCTTTAATTTCCTTCCTTCCTTCCCTTTCTTTCTTTGTCTTTCTCTCTCTCCTTCCCTTTCCACCTCCTTCGTTTCTTCCTTCCTTCCTCTCTTCCTTTCCTTTTCCTTTCCTCTCCTTTCTTCCTCTCTCCCTCCCTCCTTTAATCTCTTTCCTTCCCTTTCCATCTCCCTTCCTTTGTTCCTTCCTTCCTAGTTTATTTGCCTTTTGTTCCATCTCTCTCTTTCCATCTCTCACTCTCTCTCTCTTTCTCTCTCGTTCCCTTTTATTCTCTCTGTTTCTCTCTTTCTCTGTCTCTCTCTTTCCATTCTGTCTCCCTCTATCTCTCTCTATCTCTCTCTGTCTCTCTCATTCTCTCTCGTTCTCTCTCTGTGTCTCTTGTTCTCTCTTTCCATCTCTCTCGTTCTCTCTCTCTCGTTCTCTCTCTCGTTCTCGTTCTCTCTCTCTCTGTCTGTCTCTCTCTCTCTCCTTCCTGAATAAGCCCCTGCAATTTTCTTGGCAAGGTTTTCAGGACAGCTTCGCCATTGCCTCCTTCCTAGGGTTAAAAGAAAGCAACGGGCCCAAAACCATCTCACCAGCTTCGTGACTGTGAACTAGAACTCCTGCCCTCCCAGTTTCTAAACTCGTGCCTTAACCATGACAGAAATTCTGAGCGACAATAATTACAAAGAGGATGGGAGAAGCCTCCAATTATCCCAATGGCCGGATGGTAAGCCAAGAGGAATTCTCACGTCTACTGCTATTTAAAACTATCTTCGAAAGGCTGTGCGTGCTGGAGAAACAAAAACTTGGGCGGTTGGGGACACAAATACTTACTTTGCTTGACAGTGGAGGAGAGACACAGTTTGCCTGCCCGGATCTGGTCAATGGCCATCTGAAGCCCGGCGGACAGCAATTCAGCCACTTTCAAGTACAAGACCAGCTGTTCTGCGTAGCTTCAACACAACAAGAGCTCAAAGGTCAATGGAGATGCAGAAGGAAGCCACAGAGTTCTTTAACTTCCATAGGTAAAGCTAAAGGTTCCCCTGGCACATCCGTCCTAGTCGTTTCTGGCTCTAGGGGGCGGTACTCATCTCCGTTACAAAGCC